GGGTGCAGATGTGGCTCCTTCAATTGATGCACAACACAACCTCCTGCCTCAGGCATTTGCTCTCCACTGGTAGGACCCAGTGCAGCAATTTTGCTGGTGCAACACTTTTAAGGGAGCTCCCATAAGCACCTGCAAGAAGAGAAGGAAAAGGGAAGCTGGAACAGGGGGCTTGAGAAGCTACGAGTGGTTTCTCTGTCCAGGGGGGACGTGGTGTGCTGGGGCCTCCCAGCTCCTGCCACCCACGCTTGGGAGCTGCAAAGGCCTCCTGAGTTAGTGCAGTGCCTTGCTGCTGATATGGACTGTTTGTTTTCAGGGACGGGAAGGTCCAAACGGACCTGAAGGGCCTTTGGGGATGAGAGGAGAGAAGGTAAGGACAGAGAAGGTGAGTCTTGAGCTGCCCAGGCAGGCAGAGCCTTGGGGTCGCTCCACTTGCCCAAAGCAGGGTTTTCCTCCCCTGGGCTGTAGGTGCAAGCACACCTCCCAGTTTGGCCACTGGCTTTGCCTAGTGGGATGTGGATTTACGTGTCTGGTGTGAGGTGGGAGAAGAGCCTTGCAAGCCCTCCTATGGGGGCCAGGGCGGCGGGATGTGCAGAGGACCTGCGTGGAGGACCACCGCGGCTGCCTGTCCTAATGTCTGTGTGTTCTCTGGCAGGGTGATGCGGGAGATCCCGGGGAAGCTGGCGTCAGCGGGCTGGATGGCGAGCAGGTACGTCAGCTGGGGAATCCTGTTCTTCCCTCGGCTGGGGCTGCTCCAGCCTGCCTCCCCCTGCGTGCCTTCTGCGGAGGTGGGAAGAGAAATAGTTGTTGATCCTTAACTAATCCAGAAGGTTAAAGCTGTGTCCACGTTAGCTGAGCCAAAGGCTTTGAGCAATGTGGTGTAAATGAGCTGTGCTAGGGCCAGGCTGTCTGTTTCCTCCCCAGGGACCACCGGGACCACCGGGAGCGGAGGGTCAGCCGGGGCCCAAAGGCGAGCAGGTCGGTTCCCGCTGGGTGCTGGGGGTGATACCGCCGGCGGTCCTGCTGCTGCAGGTGCAGCTAGGCACCTAAATCCACGTGGGGCTTTTTGAAATCCTCCCCCTGCATCCTCATGCCTGGGGATTTATGTTGCTGGGTGTGGTAGGGGGTCCAGATCCCCTCAAGGCTTTGGTACCTGGTACAAGGAAAACTGGGGCTATGGTGAGAAATTATGGTGGGCAGAGCCAGGGTCAGCTGGAAAAGTCAGCCAAGAATAATCCTGGTCGTCTTTGTCCTGTCCAGGGAGAGGCAGGAACCTGCGGAGCTCCGGGCATCAGAGGGAGCCCTGGGGAGCCAGGGGACGATGGGCCGGAGGGGCCACTGGGGAGGCCCGGGGAGCAAGGCAAGGAGGTATGTGTGCTGGCTGGCACCACGGTGGTCCTCTGCCAGGGGATGGGGACGGGATGGGGACAGGAAAGGTGTGCCACCCGGTGCACTGGCTCTGCTATGGCTTTCTCCACAGACAGGCTGAGGTGCCCCCATGGAAGGAGGGGGCTGATGCTTTAGGGTCCTCTTGCTGGGGGAGCTGCTGCTTGGCTGTGCGCCATAGTTTGTCCTCACTCACTTTTGGGCTAGCGTGGATCACGGCTGGGGGTGGCCTCAGGTGAAGCTGCGGGGCCATCTCTTATCCAGCACCAAAATCCCGGCCACAGGAGGGTGGGGAAGCCCATGAAAGTCAGAGCTCGGCTTTTAACCCCCCCGGGATGGGGCTGGGGAGCAGCTGCTGCATCTGATGCCGATATTTCCCCTCGGGGCAGGGTGACGCTGGTGATGCTGGAGACCGGGGTGAGCCAGGACTGCAGGGACAGAAGGTGAGGAGTGCCTCTAACTCTGTCCCTCCTTGCAACACGCTGGGGACACTCGTAGCCTGCTCAGCCTCTGCTGCTCAGTTTGGCATGGTGAGGGCAGAAGCAGGACAGGGATGTCCCCACGGCTGAGGACCACTGGAGATGTGGGGCTCAGATCTGGCATCAGCACCTCTCCTGAGCACCTTAGGGTGAACTTCTCCTGTCTGCAGCACCCAGTGAGAGGGTGAATCACATCATATCCATGCAGAAGCTCATTTAATTGCTACTCCTTTTTCCTCTCTCTGGTGACATCTCTCTCCATCCCTGAGCAGGGTGATGCTGGCCCCAGGGGCCTTCCTGGAGTGCCTGGCCCAGGAGCTGCTACGGGGGAAATTGGAGAAAAAGGCCATAAAGGAGAGAAGGGCCAAGAAGGTTTGCTGGCAAGTACAGAGAGGGGCTGCCTCAGCCCACCGGGCTCCCGGCATCCCTGCAGGCTGGCCGTTGGGTGCTGGGTGCCAATGAGTGGGGCTCACACCTGGCGGGAAACCTTGGGCTTCAGGAGCTGCAGAAAATACTAGGAATTGGCAAATCTCCATAATTAGGGAGTTTTGTGTCTCATGGGCATGATACCAAAACTGGGTCTTGTTGGCACAAAGGGACAGTTTGGACTTGCCGGGCAGTCCAGGTTAATGCTCCCTCCGGCCAAACTCCAGCCTCCTGTCCCCAGCCGGGCTGGGACCCTGCTAAGCATGTCTCCCTCTGTGTCCCAGGGCCAGGTCGGCGTCACCGGAGCTGCGGGATCTGCTGGAGCCAGAGGACGGTCTGTAAGTCAGCTTGTGTCCCTCCTCCCGTTTCAGCTAATCACAGACCTGGCATGGTGGGCGGGGGGACATGGCTGTGACTGGGAGCACTGGGCAGGGTTGAATCAATGGGGCTCCTTTGCTTGTGCCCTAAACAGGGTGGGACGGGTCTCCGAGGTCCTCCTGGGCTTGACGGTCCCGAGGGAGCAAAGGTACGGCGCGGTGATGGCTCCAACCCTTCATCTCTGGGTGAAATGCCTTTTTCTGATCTTTTCCCAAGCTCTGCTTTCTGCCTCTGGCTGATGGGGGATGTGGTGGGGCTGGCTGTGGTGGAGGAGCTGGGTCAGACTTGGGCAGGCTGGCGACCTGGGGGACCTGCCATGGGACATTCCCTGCCTTGTTGCCTGAGATCCAAAGTCAACAAGGCAAGGAAGGGGTTTGCTGGGGACAGAGCTGTTTCCCCTTCTTCCCCAGGGAGATCCAGGGCCACGAGGCATGGACGGACCTGCTGGTGCTGCTGGATTAGAGGTACTGATGCCTGGGATCTTGTAGAGCCGGGAGCTGCCAAAGGCTTCCCCAGTGTTTCACCATTTCCAATGCAAACCAAAGCCAAAGGATTTATTGTCCCTTAACTGCCCAAGGCAGAGCAAGGAGGAGTTTTTAATGCCTCACATCTTGGCACTGACTCCCAGGAGGTACTTACATGCCCCCACTCCAAAAATCAGACCATTTCAGTCTAGCACCCAGGGATGCCTTGTGGAAGACCCGTTTCTGCTATCGCATCATGTTCATTCCCACGCGGTTCCCAGGTGCTGCCTGGGCATGTGCCTTGGCCAGCTGAACGTGGTACAAGGGAGAGGATGCTTAAAATACCTGTAGAGGGCCTGAGCGCGAAGCACATGGTGGTGACGGGCTTATTCTAAATCCCCAACATCACTGCAGGGACTTGCTGGAGATGACGGAGTGAAAGGAGATGGCGGCAAGCCCGGTCCAGCGGTGAGTACTGGCCCTGCCACTGCAAAACTTCCCTGGGAAAAAAGTTTGGTGGCATCTTGTGATGGAGCAGCAGAGCCTGGGGCTGGGGCTGTGTGTCACCCAGGGGGTGGCCACAAAGTGAGCTCTGCCAGCCCGAGTGCCGGGCTGTGTCTCCTGGGTCCTGCCCTGCAATAGCTTTGTAACTGAGTCATCGTTTCCTTGGTTTCCCTAGAGCCAAAGCTCATAAAGGGATTTTAATACAGCTATTAAAAACCGTGCAGAAGTGTCGTGGCCATTGTGCAATTAACGCTCGGCTGTCGGAGTCTGCCTGAGGCAGGACCAGGGCATTTGGTTTCCCCCTCCTCTGCTTTCGCAGAGCAAATCTGCAGGTGTCTGTAAGGTCAGAGGGCTCCAGGAACCGCCCTGTGCTCAGGAGCACTTGTGCTGCCCTGAGATGCATTTTGTGGTCGTGGTCCTGACATGCACAGAGCAACAGATGTGTTATTGATGCCCTGCACTCGGCTGCAGGATAAATCCCATTTACATCCTAATTTTTCCATGTTGCAGTGCCGCTCTGCCCAGGCAAGACATGTCCTTAACTCAGGCGATTGCCTTTGCTAGGAGAGGTCGGGATGTGGAATAAACTCCGGGTGGATTTGCAAAGCAGACAGCGAGAGCTGTCACTCGGTGTAGTTGAAGCCCCTCGAGGGGCGGCTGCTCGGACCCTGCTCCAGACGGCGTTGGGCTGGGGTGTAACCGGTGCCTCCGTCTGTGTGCACCGCAGGGCGCAGCGGGTGCCCGCGGGCCGGCGGGTGCCCCCGGGTTCCGGGGCTATGC